TAAGAGTGCACAAACTGCTCTGGCAGAGGACACAAGTTCAGTAATCAGTACCCACATGGCAGCTCACAAGCATTTGTAACTCAGTTTCAAGGGATCCAACGCCTCCTTCGGGCGTTAGAGAGCAGCAGGCACAGGCATTATGCACAGATATACATACAGGAACTCTCACATACACATAAAATGAAAATAAATATAAATTGGCAGGAGCAATAGTTCAGCCATTAAGAAGAGTACATCCTGCTCTTGCAGAGGACCTGAGCTCAATTCCCAAGACCCATATCCAGTGACTCATAACAGCATGTTATCTACAATTCCAGGGAGAGCCAACATTTCTGACTTCTACATGCCCCAACACTTATGTTTACAGGTGCACACACATTATACATAATTTAAAAGAGCAAATCACTGTTTTGTTTCTTTGTTTTGCTTTGTTTGATAAGATGGGGTTTCTCTATGTAGCTTTGTAGGCCAGGCTGGCCTCGAACTCACAGAGATTCAGCAGCCTCTGCCTCCTGAGTGCTGGGGTTAAATTTGTGCACCTTCCATGCCCAGCAAATAAATCATTTTTTAAAACTAAATAAAATCTACAATGGTGGAAATCACCTGTGCCAAGCACTTGGGAAGTGACAGCAGAAAGATCAGGAGTTAAGAGACACAGCTGACTGTAATCAGGGTCAAGCCAGCATGGACTACATGAAACAGTCTCAAACAAAATAAGACACATCTTAGTTAACATAAGTTGTAGATTTCCTAAAGTAAATTCCCAACCAACAGCACTGTAAGTTAAGACAAAACAAAGTTAATCTTATACATGGCATTTTCTTCACAAAGTATATTATGGCCATCTTATCATCAAGAACACATGACAGCACTCAAGCACATGCTTGGTTTCTATGTGAACAGGTACCTCACCAAATAAACATCAACAAATAAAAAATTCTATAAAGATGATGTAGTCAGAGAAGACAATTGTTTACAGAATGAGAACTGAAAGAAGTTGCTGTGTTAGCCCTCAACCAGGAGTTCTCACAGTGGGCCTCTTAAGAATCTTCATCATTCTCAGTTTACCCATGAAAGGCCAGCAAATCTCTGGGGTAAAAACAGGCTTTAAGGTTACAAACAAATTTAACAATGGACTTTACATGACACATACATAAATACATGCATACTTAAGGCATGAAGGAATAGGACAGACAAGGGACTTCCAAAGGGCAATAAAAGTCAGAGTGTGCTTGGTTTTATAATGAAAACTCTAAACTATAATTCTTATTAGGAAATAAGCAATTGCAAGATTGGTATCTCAAGGGTCTTTTCTCTGCCTCTGGGCATGTCAGGGCAATGTCTCATATTGCCATCAATATTTAAATACACTGAGCACAATTTTATTTATTTATTTTCATTTACATATTAATCCCTGTTCTCCCTCCCTCCCTGTTTCCCTCCCTTCATACCCTCAAGCCCCCCCCACCACCACACTCCTCTACCACCCCACTCCACATGTAGGGTGATGTCTTCCAGAAGGGGTCATCTAAATCTGTCACATCATTTGGAGTAGGGACTAGGCCTTCTCTCCTGTCTCTAGGTTAAGGGAGTATCTCTCCATTGGGGATGTGCACCCAAAGTCCTTTTGTGCACCAGGTACATGTCCTGTTTCCGCAGTCAGAGGTCCCTTAGACTTCCCAGGCCTTCTGGCAGAGACCCATGTTTAGGGAGTCTGAGTCAGTCCAATGCTGGAATCCCATCTCTCAGTCTGGGGGCCCAGTAGCTCCTCCTTTTTCAGGTCAGCTGTCTCAATGTGTATTTGTAGCCTGGTCTTGTCCTCTCTCTTTGCATCTGCATTCCTGTTTTGCTCAGTGGTTACTTGTGGGTGTCTGCTTCTGTTTCCATCTGCTGCTAGATGAGAGCTCTATGATGGTGGATAAGACAGTCCTCAATCAGGGAAGGGCATTTATGGTAGCCCTTCCACTGTTGCTCAAATTGTTACTTGCAGTTAGTTTTGAAGGTCTCTGGACATTTTTCTAGGTTAATTTTTCTCTTCAAACATATAATTGCTCCCTCTATTATGTTCCCCCCACCTCTCTCTCTCTCTCTTCTCATCTATTCCTCCCGTTGACTCAATCTTCCTAGGCCCACATGCTTTCCTCTCCTCCCCTTCTCTTCCTCCTAGCTCCCTCTCCACTCACTGCCCCACTACTCCCCATATGCTCAGGAGATCTTGTCCCTTTCCCTTCTGTGAGGGAACTTATATGAATCTCTTAGAATCCTCCTTGCATCTTAATTTCTTTGGCAGTGTTAATTACAGGCTGGTAATACTTTGCTCTGTCTAAAATACATATATGATTTAGTACATACAATTTTATTCTTTTTGTGACTGGGTTACCTCATTCAGGATGGTTTCTACAAGGTCCATTCACTTGACTGCAAATTTCAAGATTCTATTATTTTCTTTTCCGGCAGAGTAGTATTCCATTGTGTAAATGTGCCACATCTTTATCCATTCTTCAGTTGAAGGGCATCTTGGTTGCTTCCAGATTCTTGCTATTACAAACCATGCTGCCATGAACATAGTAGTACAGAAGTCTTTGTTGCATGGATGTGGATCATTAGGGTATATGCCTAAGATGGCGATTGCCGGGGCCTGTGGTAGACTCATTCCCATTTTCCTGATGAATCACCTTAATGATCTCCAAAATAACTGTACAACTTTGCACTCTCAACAACAGTGGAGGAGTGCTCCCGTTTCTGCACATCCTGTCCAGCATAAGTTGTTCTTGGTGTTTCTAATTTCAGCCAATCTGTCAGCAGTAAGATGGTATCTCGTAGTTCCTTTGATTTGCATTTTCCTGATAGCTAAGGATTGTAAGTACTTTCTTTAGGGCCCTCCAGCCTTTTGAATTTCCTCTATTGAGAGTTCTCTATTAAGTTCTGGATCCCATTTTTAATAGGGTTATTTGGTGTTTTGTTGACTAGTTTCTTGAGTTCTTTGTATATTTTGGAGATCAGCCCTCTGACAGATATAGGATTGGTGAAGATATTTTCCCAGTCTGTTGGCTGCTGTTTGGTCTTGTCAACTGTGTCCTTTGCCTTATAGAAGCTTCTCAGTTTGGGGAGGTCCCATTTATTAATTGTACATCTCAGTGTCTGTTCTTACTACATTTTTGTTCAGGAAGCAGTCTTCTGTACCAGTTTGTTCAAAGGTACTTCCCACTTTCACTTCTATGAGGTTCTATGAGTTTCAGTGTGGATGGATTTATGTTGAGGTCTTTGATCCAGTTGGACTTGAGTTTTGTGCATGGAGATAGACATGGGTCTATCTACAGTCTTCTACATACACTTATCCAATTGTCCCAGCACCAGTTGTTGAAGATGCTATCCTTGCTCCATTGTATAATTTTAGATGTTTTGTCCTAAATCAGGTGTTCGTAGCTGTGTAGGTTAATGCCAGAATATTTCATTTAATTTCATTGGTGACCTTGTCTATTTTTGTGCCAATACCAGGCTGTTTTCTGGACTATAGGTCTGTTGTAGAGCTTAAAGTTGAGGATGGTGATGTCTCCTTGAGTTTCTTTATTGTATAGGATTGTTTTGGCTATCCTGGTTTTTTTTTTTCTGTATAAAGTTGATTATTATCCTTTCAAGGTCATTGAAGAATTGATTGAGCACAAATATTGATTGGAAACCCACTATTTTCCTTTCAGTTTTGGCACTGGGAATATAAATAAAAGTACCATACTTCTTACAGGGTTTAAATTAATGAGAAATGGAGCACATGATGTTTAGAGAACAAAACAAGATGTGATGAGAAATAATGGGACAAAATAAGAGATATTGGTTCACTTAGGGTAACAAGAAAGCATTCTTTAAGATGACAGTGGGACTCACATCTGAATGAAACAAAGATTCGAAAATGCAAGCACATAGAACACCACATAGTGAAAAAAATAAGAAGAAAAGAAAAAGCTTGAAAGATGAAAGACCTTACCATACAGATATGCTGGGCACACCAAAAGTGAAGAAAGCCAATGGCAATAGATAGCAACAAAGAAAAGAGACATAGCATAGTCTATAGCTTCTCACAAGGTGTGTACGGTAAACTTGGCTCTGAGAATCTTGTTTTAAGTCTGTTTAAAAGCATTTGGGGTGGGGGTCCAGGAAAGACTGTGACAGTATGCACAATTTGTGTTTTAGGAGTTATTCTGAGTTTACAGAGAAAAGACAGTGTAGGAAGTTGAGGTATAAGATATTCATAGGGCTACTGTAATGAACCAAGTACTGCTAATGATGGCTTTAACCAGAGTATTGGTAGATGATAAAAAACCATCAGATTAAAGGTTAAGAAATTTGACAGAATTTGATGATAAGACAAACAAATATGGGACACAAAAGGAGCACTGAAGGTTGACTAGCAGCTGCCCTGTTCACAAAGACAATGATACTGCCATTTAGTAACTACAACAAGGAATATTAAGCAAGACTAACATGCACAGAAGAAAGGAGTCAGTTTTATATACACCAGGAAGTTCCATCCAAAGATACTACTCAGATTCCCGGACCCTGTATGTCAGCATGAGTTTAAGGCAATAATCTGATAAATGTTACTAGATACTGAGAAAGGTAGCTTGGGAATTCCAACATATTTACATTTTGTTCATGAAGAAAAACGTTCAAGACAAAATAACATTCTTAAATGTGAATGATGTAGCCAGGTAATGTAGGGCACTCCTTTAAAACTAGCAGTCAGGAAGCAAAGGCAGGTGGATGTCTCTTAGTTCAAGGCCAGCCTGGTCTACAGAGTGAGTTCCAGGATAGGCTGCAAAGCTACACAGACAAATCCTGTCTTGAAAACACAAACACCAAATTAAAAAAAAAAAAAAGAAACAACATGAATGATTCTATGTAATTGATAACATCCAATAATCAATGTGTAAAGCCTCTAATACATAACATGCATTTAAAGACATTTCACTTGCAATTCCCTGGAGTTACCAAACACCTCTCACCTGTGAAGCATCCTTTCATTGTCTTGGTACAGCTCCCTCATCACTGTGATTTTCCTTTGAAGCTTCTGTTTCTCGATTTCAAGTTGTGTATTACCTGACTTCAGAGACACTTTTTCAGATGTAAGACATCGCATATGCTCTAGACAAAGTTACAAAATCATAAAGAAACAACATTAAAGGAATTTCATAAAATTAAAAACATATTAATATCATATTAAAGATACACAAAATTGGCCAGATCACTGTGACTTCAAAACCCACCTACTTTATAAAGATACACAGAGAAGCCTGTCTTGCAAAGAAAAATCCTTAGTCACATGCCTAGGGTTTTTTAATGTATATGGAATCACTCAGACAATATACAATTAAAAATATGTCTTAAATTTTTAGCGGGTAGAGAGGTTAAGGGGAGTGTTTGTTTTTCCAAAGTTCCTGAGTTCAGATCTCAGCAACTACATGGTGGCTCACACAATCTGTAATGGTGTCTGGTGACCTCATCTGGCTTGCAAGTGTGCATCCAGTCAGAACACTGTATACATAATAAATAAATAAATCTTAAAGAAAAAAAGATAACTGACAAGATTGGACATGCCCAGCGACACACAGCTATAGACAATTACTATAGACAACAGTTCAGTTATCTTTTTTTTCAGTCAAAATTTTTCATGTGCTGTCATTCAAACTAGCTGATAATAAGTGCTCATTTCCACTTTCCTGAGAGACCAAGTCTCAAACAAAATGAATACTGGAAAGAATAATGACTTTTCCATTATTTCAACTGCTATACTACTGAATCATCCACAAAATTGGGAGATAGCTCAGTCAGTTAGGTACTGGCTAAACAAACATGAGGACCAAAGTTTGGGTCATGAGCACCCATATAAGACCTGTCTGAGTGCTGGAAAGGGAAAAAACAAGATCCCTAGGGCTCACTGAGCAGCACAATCCAGGTTTAATGAGAGCTTTCTCAATGAATAAGGGGGGAAAAGCTATTGAAGGAAAGCCTGAATATCTACTTTTGTCCTCTATATACATATGAATACAGACACACACAAAATGGATTCTCAATTATAAGTAATTGTGATTCTGTATGAACTAGCATACCATTATTTTTACATATCTCACTTTTCTTTCATTATGATTACTACAACTCTACACAGCTCTAATGAGATCCTCAACTCTGACCTGCTCTAAGGTATCATTCCCAAAACATATGTGAACCAATCGAATACAAGAAAAAATGCACTATACTTCAAAAGGGCAGTTTCAAAATCATAACAAGGAAAAGTTTAGTAACTATATGCAATGGGATGTTATTATTCTAAAATGCAAGCTACATAAACATATGGACCAAAAGAAAAGTTTGTGTCAATACAGTAATAGAAAGTGAACATGTACAGGAAATCATGCATAGGTGACTTCTGCAAAAATTGTAAAGCTATACCAGAAAAAAATGCCCATCCATGCTGTCTGGCAAGTCTAACAAGTCACTTATCAAGAAATCAATGATCAATATAAGCTGTAATATAATTGAATCATACTAATGCAAAGAAGTCTTACAAAACAACACAAATTATTTTACCATTATACACTCAAGCTCTTTTTTCTAGTGTCTTAGATTATCTCATTTTAAAATTTAAAAACTAAGTGTTTGGGAGACGTGGAAGGCAGGGGCGGGCTCAGAGGGAAGGGGTCTGGGAAAAAGTATAGCTCAATTAAAAAAAAAAATGTGTGTGTGTGTGTGTGTGTGTGTGTGTTTGTGTGTTCACCTGAGCCTGCATGTCCGGGTGGGCAAAGGTCAGAGGACAACTAGCTGGGGTCTGTTCTCTCCTTCCACTGGAGACTGAATTCAGACCATCAGGCTCAGAAGAAGGGGCTTTTATGCACTGAACCCACACATTATAATAGGGCACTGTACAGGCCAGGTGCAGTAATTTTAAGCCTGTATAAAGCAGACATGTGAGAAGTTGAGGTAGAAATGTGAAGACTTCAAGAAACCTGGGGTTACACAGAAACATGCATTTAAAGGAAGAACACTATAAATTATTACAAAAAAGGCCAGATACTATGGGAGATGAGAGATGGTTAGAGAAAAATGCTCCCATATGGTAAAATTATTGAAAAAAAATTATGACGCATTAAGGAAAGAATGTTGGGGCTGGAGACATGGCTCAGCAGTTAAGAGCAATGAATGCTCTTCCAGAGAACCTTGGCTCAATTCCGATCACCCACAGGGCAGCTCAAAACTGTCTGTAACTCTAGTTCCAGGGGATCTGATACTCTCACACAGACATATATGTGAGCAATATCCCAATAAAGTAAATAAATAAAAAACATTAAATAATTTTTAAAAAACACCATGGAAAAAGATAAGGTAGATTTGGATGGAAGCTCTACACACACAAGAGGTTCCAGTATTACTTGGTGGGGGGGAGGGGATTAAGACTGGCCAAGAGAAGGAGTAAACAATGGAATAACTGGTGAACTAATTGCTTGCTACACTGGTACTTCCTACTAAGATACATGTAAGTTAATGTATGCCTCGATAAAGCTACCTTGAGAACAGAGTGCCTATTCCTCTCTGTGTCTTCCATGCTGTTAATACCATTCATCTCAGATAGCCGCATTTTTTTTTTAATTAGACTAGAGTTTTTTTATTTTTTCAGGTCTAATAACAATACAATTACTATAATCAATGAGTAGAGCAATTTAATCCAATGGTTCAATCTTTTTAAAGCATTTTGCTCATTAAAAGAGTTAAAGGCCTTTGAGACCCTTTTGGTCTTTATCTCATCAGATCTCAACCCTGGTCTTGAAGGTTATAAAGAAGATAAAGTACACTGAAGCTGGCCTCCCAATGATGAATTCTGGTATAGAGCATAGGTCCAGATTCAAATGGTTCTGGCTATCGTTTGGAATACAGAATAAGTTAAGAATGAAAAGGAAGAAATGTGAAGTTCTGGGCAGCCGTGGCAATGGTTGACTACATATTGACGTTTCTTGTATTCATTGAGAGGATTATTTTGTTGTTGTTTATGTTCAGCTGTGTAATCAGTGAAGGGGCCTTGCCTGTGATCATAGGTGTAGAGTTAGAAACAGGCAGGAAGAGCATCAGGCAGGTGAAAATGAAGCTCCACAAGCAGAAGCTTTTGTCTTATGTTGCATCATTTATGCAATTGTAACAGGATCAAAAAAAACCTGTTTTGAAAAGAAAATATAGATGAGGAGAAATAAAAAAAAAATGCCTGTGTTCCCATTCTGAGTTAACCAGCACAGACATTTGAATATGTCCATCCATTCTCTTCAGATATAAACATATGAATTTATTTCATTAACAAAGTGAGATGTGATATAACTTTTACAGCACAAACACAACTGGAAAAAACTATTTTTCAATGTGAACAAAATCAGCTAACTTTTTTAATACTTTCCCTAAAAATATACATATTTTATAGGTCTAAAGCCACTACTGTGTATGCTAATAAATTATATGAATATATTAAAGTAGTAGACATTACAAGCTCAAGTCCTGAAGATCACTGTCTCAATTTTAAAAATGTAAGGAAAAAATTAAATTTAAAACTTTTTAACATCTAAAACTATATCCAACATTATACTCCTTGTGGTGGCTTGAGTGACAATGTCACTCTAGGCTCAGAGGATGTGACACTATTAGGAAGACTGACCCAGTGGCACTCTTCCTTCCTGCTGCCTGCAGATCTAGATATAGAACTCCTGGCACTTTCCCCAGCACCATGTCTGCCTGTGTGATCTTCTGCAGTGCAATTACTATGGAATCCTACTTTATGGTATACTTATCATTTGCAGGCCCTAGAACTCTAAACTATAAGCCAGATCCAATGAATGTCTTCCTTATAAGAGTTGCCATGGTCAAGGTGTCTCTACATGGCAATAGAAACCCTAACAAAGTTGCACCATACTCCACATGCTTACATGCTTTTAATAATTTACATAAATATAAGAGAAAATGGAGTACATTTACCACTGACAGTAAAACTCAGAAGTAATTCATGCTATTTAAGGAGGCATGCTCGTCAAGAACCCTTACCTATAAGATCATCATTTGTTGCATCTATTTTAGATAAATGAGTATAAATTTGGTTTCTGTCTCCTTCTAGGGTTTTTAACGAAGCGCTTAACTTTAAAGAAGGAAAAGAAGAAAAAAAGCAATTATCAATTACACACACACACACACACACACACACACACACACAAAATCATTCCCAATATACCCCATACTACTGTTCTGCAGTTATTTTCCCTGTGATTATGTTATCATGAACAACATAAAGACATCAGTGCAGCTTCTAAAGCAGCCTTCACCCTATACAATCAGGACTTTTTACACAGATTAACTAAGAACAGACAGAGGGAATAAACCAGAAGAAAACACAGCTATTATTTATTTCTCAAAAGAGTATGAGGAACCATTGGAACCAGAAGAAAAGAATGAACAAGGTGAATGATGAAACAAAACTATATTTCTGAAGATATCTTTAATTGAAGGAATGAGTGTACAATTTGAATATTTCTAAATACTCCAATTATAAGAATTTCTAAAGTTGATATAAAAAAAGAAATTGATAAGGAAATCCTAGGGGCTGGAGAGATAGTGCAGTGGCTGCTCTTCCAGTGGACCCGGATTTAAGTCTCTATACCCACATGGCAGCTCACGACTCTCTGTAGCTCCAGTTCCAGGGAATCTCAAACCCTCATAAAGACAAGCATGCTGGCAAACCACCAATGCAAATAAAATTAATACATCAAAAGAAAAAGAAAATTCTAATCATTTATCACATAACCTTATACAAAAAAATAAAAGCAATTTTTAAATTAGTTACATAAGGACACACAGATTTCATCTCTGCTGTAGGTCCTGCTCCTTCTCATCTAGATTTTTACGTACTAATACAAACCTCAGTAGCATATATTAGCTTCCTCAAAGCTGATTACCTGCAGTGAAAAATAAAACCATACTTAGTGAACACATCCAAATTAATGCATTAGTTCTTCATCTAGACTTGCAACCCCTCTTCCGGCCAAAATTAAACAATTTGAGGCTGAGCTTATTTGCTCTTGACTCTAATTCCAACATTTCACAGCTAAGTCAAGGGGATTGTCTCAGTAAAAAGAGTAATTAAAATAAAAACAATAATTTATATAAGGTAGAGTGACCTACACTCAGGAAGATAGACAGTGCACTACAGAGACCCAACAAGAACTGAATATTTACATAAACAGTGTCCATGGACTTAACTATGCTTAGATTCTTATGGCATTACAGCCTCCAGGTTAATTAGTCAATCGTGGCTTCAACACTAAAATTATTAATGAACCATAGCTCCAAGTTAAGTACTATTAAACATAATTAGAATTTATGTTTCTTCTATTATAAAATGAAAATGAAAAATACAAGTCTAAGTATATGAGGAGCTCGATACACATGTGGAATGAAGAGGAAACAAGGAGCCGGTCGCCACAAGTCAGTGCACGTTATTCTCTAAGTCATTGTTCACTTCTACATCCAGATTACCATCATCAGTTACATCTTCCCCAAGCACAGGATTCCAGTATTTCATCAGAGACTGGATATTGAGTTAAAAGAGAAAACACAAAGAGAAAGTAATGACTCATGATAATAGCTTTACAATTTAGAAGTTAACTCACCTGAAATTCAATCCTGAACCAATGAGATGGTTTGGCAGGTAAAAGCATCTGCCACTTAGACTGATAATCTGAGTTTAATCCCCAGAACCCACATGGTAGGAAAATTGCCTCCCAAAATTTGTCTTCTGAACTCCATACCCACATCATGGAATGCACACACCTGACACATACATACACAAGTAACTTTTTAAATATTATAATTTTTTAAATCAATCCCCATAAATAAATCCTTTTTTGCCCTAAGTATCTGTCTGCAATTGAGATATGTAAATAGTTGGTTTTATTTTCTAACTCCACATTTAGGGACTAGTAATCCTGAAAAACTAACTTGCTGAACATGGTACATCTTTTACCCCACCACTCAGAAGGAATAGGCAGGTAGATCTATGTGAGATGGGAGCCAGCCTGATATAATAAAGTGAGTTCTGGTAATAAAAAATACCTCTTGAAACTCTATATGCAAAAAAATTATTATGGATATTATGGAAGGGAGGGATGGAGGAAGGGGAGGTAGTGAGGTAAGGAAGGAATGAAGGAAGGATGAAGAGAATAAGGAAAAGAAAGAAGAGAAAACAAAATCAAATACAGTGTTTTATAATGGTTCATTCTTGTTAACTACAAAACAACAAAATATTTTCTTTTGTGTGTATCATACACACATGAGTATGCAGGTGCACATACAGCTGCAAGAGCATGAGGTAAGAAGATGCAAGTGTCTTCTTCCATCATAATCTAGCTTACTGCCTGGAAACAAGACCTCTCATGGAATCCGAACTCTACTATCTCAAAAGCATGGCAGCTCAACAGGCTATAATCTCCACTGTCTCTGTCCCCTGTGTGTGGCTCTCAGGCATGCGTAGCCATGCTCTTATTTTGTGGGTGCTTAGAATTCAAACTCAAGTCCTTATGCCAAGAGACCAAGTGCACTAACACACTAAACTATCCCCCCACTCCATAAAATACTTTATTTTGACATTCTTTATATTTTTTTTTTACTAATTTACAGTTGGACTGGAGAAATAGCTGAGCAGTTCGGGACTCGTTACTCTGCTAAAGCATCTAAGCTCTTTTCCCAGCACCCATATCAGATGGTTCACAACCACTTGTAACTCCAGATCCAGTACATCCAGTGGTCTCTTCTTGCCTCTGTGGGAAGCATGCAGGCAAGTGGATGGCACTTGAAGAAACCATCCTGAATGAGGTAACCCAGTCACAAAAAGAGGAACACAGTATGTACTCACTCATATATGGATTTTAGACCTAGATCAAATGATCACCAGCCTATAATTCACATCACCAAACAAACTAGGATACAAGGTGTATTCTAAGACATTCATATGAAGTCACACACAGAACTGGGAAGGGACAGGTCCCCAGAGCTCAGGGGAAGTGGGGGGCGCAGCGAATGGGGAAAAAAGTAGGAGAAAAGGAGGGGGAGGAAAGGAAAGTATGTAGGACCAGGAAGATTGAGCCTGGTTAGGAATAGAAGATGAGACAGAGAGAGAGAGAGAGAGAGAGAGAGAGAGAGAGAGAGAGAGAGAGAGAGCATAAAAATGGAGCCAATAATGGTTTGAAGATAAAATTGAATGCAAAGAAAGGTCTAGAGACCTACAAGACTGCTGCCAACTAACAATCTGAGATCCCATGGAAAGGCTACCATAAATGCCCTTCCCGGAGAGTGAGATCAACAACTAACTTATCCATGGAGTCCTAAACTTGTGCCTGATGGAAACAGGAGCAATCACCCATACATAAACACTGAATCGAAGTAGAACCCGGATGAAGATGGAGAGGACAAGACCAGGCTACAGAAACACATAGAGAAAACATACCTGAACAAGAAGGAGCTAATGGGCCACCAGATTGATAGCTGGGAAACCAGCATGGAACTGACTCAGGCCTCACTGAATATGCCTCTCAGCCAAGGGACTGAGCAGTCTAAGGGAACTCAGACAGTGGAGCCAGGATGTATCCCTGGTGCACAAAAGGACCTTGCTAACACATCTGCCATGGAGGGATAACTGCATTTACCTAGAGACAGGAGAGAAGCCCTAGTCCCTACTTCACAGGAAGTCAGATTTACATGACCCCAACTGGATGGCATTCCCCTACATATGGAATTAGGGTAGGGGGATGGGAGGGGAGGGTGGTTAGAGTGCATGTGAGAGGGCAGAGAGTATAAAAGGGAGGGAAGGAGGGAGGGAGGAATGAAAGGAGGGGGGAGAGAGGGTGGAATGAAGGGAGGGAATGAGAGAGGGAGAGGGAACTGGGATGGACATATAAAATAATAAATTAAAAAAATGCTTTGACTCCAAAATTTAAGTTCAAGGACAAGTTACTGGGGAAAAGGATTTCTATTTTTGTTTCCACAGAAAGTGAAAAGATGTGGATTCCTTCCAGACTAATGTGGTTTGATCAAGCCACACTGCCTGAAACAGAGTACCAGGTGATCCTACATTCAAAACAGCTTGACAAAGCAGCCTTAAAAACTACAGCCAGGATTTCTGCATCTTCTTGGAATTACCTTGCCAGAGCCCCTTACCTGCAGGAAGTAGTTTGGAAAAATGATGCCCAAATTCCCAAATATTATCTAATGTTTGTTTTCATTTAAATGGACTTGTTCATATAAAACAACAAAAAGGTAAAAATCATTATTTTATTTCTTTATTCATGAACTCCAGGCTAAGATACTGGAGAACAAAGACATGGAGTGTTAACATATGTTTTACAAATCTATGTGTGTTCTAGAAGCATTTGAAATGTAACAAAAAGACACAATAGCAAATAAAAGCTGTTAAAATTATTTGATTTTACAATTAAGTATAAAATTGTGACGAACTAATGACTAAACCCAACAAGCCATTATCTTGATCTGATTTTCCTTAACTTTTAGGAGTTGCTCTGCCTGTACGTTAGATACTTCGATTGCTATTTTCTGTTTATTGAGTTGATTCATTTGTTCTTTCATGATTTTAGCTTCTTCTAAATACTGATAGGAAAACAATAACAAGGGTGTGAAAGACAGCACAATTTTTAGATGATTTTTTTTTCAATATCATTAAAAGATACTAAATGTGTCATTAATGATATTAAAAAAGATAGGGCTGTTACTTAAATAAGGACTCAGATGTGGTTCCTTTGTATAAAGAACTTTCACAGCAGAAGACTATAAAATTAGAAAGATTCTTCAACAGATTTCCAAGGAAAATTTTCATCAAGTAAATGATTTTGACACATACTTGTATGAAAAATCTAGTCAATTATTTCTATCTTTGTACCCTATATACTCTGCTACATCTCATTACTTTGTTTGTTTTTTGTTTTCCCAATAGAGTTTCTCTGTATTGCTTTGGAGCCTCTCCTAGAACCAACTCTGTAGAAAAGGCTGGCCTGGAACTCACAGCAGAGATACACCTGCCTCTGCCTCCCAGGTATTGGAATTTAAGGTATGTGCCACCAATGTCCATATATATATTCAGCAGATAATCTGAGCCTGAACTTCACTGTGAGTTCCAATTTAGCCTGTTATACATGGTAGGACTTTGAAGTGAGGATGACTCAGCTTTTATTATAGTAAGGACAATCAAAACAGGAGTCCTCACCACCATGTTTTCTAAAATCTGAGATGATAGAAGAAAGATGTGAAAGGAAAAGGCATCAACCCCAAAAGAAAATGGACAAACAGAAGGAACACATGTGAGACCAAACAATCCACAGACAATAGAAGAAACATAAGCCAGTTAGAAAAACATAAAATAAGATGCCCTGACACAATCCAGAGAGGCTCATGAAAGAAAGCAGTAGTAGTAGATGGAGGAATGGAAACTAAAAGGGAAGAATTAGGGAACTGGAGAGACAGTAGAGTAGTTAAAAGCACATACTGCTCTTGCAGAGGACCCACACTCAGTTCCCTGCACCTGCACTGAATAGCTCACAGGTGCCTGTAATTCTAATGATCTAATGTCCTCCTCTCGTCCCTATGAATGCCTGAACATATACACACACACCAACACACAGAAGCACACACATGCTCCTGATATCTCTCCTATAACCTCCCTGTACCTGTCTTCTCTCAAACATGCATATACACATCACATTTTCTGCCACTCATCTCATTTTTTCTTTTATGCATACATATAGCTGAATGTTTCATCCCTACTGGCAAGCTTCAATAGTGCTGTAAGGTGTTATGCATACAGCAGTACAAAACATATTCATCAATATCACCTATCTGTGAAGCACACAAGCTGAAATAACAACCCAGCAGCAAGATGTGGCTTATGGTGCCACAGTAGCATAAGTGTTATTAAAGTAAGCAACCACTTTCTAATTGGATTTAAGGCCAACCAACTCAATGAGATGAAATGTTGTTCAGCACAGCAATGCACACCTTTCACCTCAGTGCCCAGGAATCAGAGTCAGGTGGAATTCTGTGAGATCAAAGTCATCCTATTCTGCATAGGGAGCTCCAGGATAGATAGAATTACTTAAGAGAGATTATTCTTTCTAAAAAAATGAGGTGGACCATTCCTGACACTGTTAAGGCCTCTAGTCACTACACACAGTTACACACATGTATCCACGTGCACAAATGAACACACACACACACCCCACAGACACACTCAACAAATCAGATAGTCGTCAATATAATTATCATGGAAGGGCTTTAAAGTTAGTCTCTCCAGTATTTCTTGGATTGCTATATGGTCACGGAAGGCCTCACCCTCCATGGGAAGCAGAAATGGGATAGGGAGGGTTTTGGTGAGGGTTATAGGCATGAATGGGAACATGAGAGAACTGGAATTGACAACTATGTTTCAAATTTAAATAAAAAGGAAAAAAAAACAAAATTTAAATTATCACAATAAATAGTTCTAGTAACCCACAGTTTCAAGAGTTTCCAGAATGTAAGAATCCAACATATTAAAGAAACCCTATGTGACACATCATCACACAATCTCAGAGAGCTAAAGACAACAGAAAGATAATGTTTGAGGAGAAAAAAAGGCAGAAAGCAAAGAAGGTCCCATAATCAACACAACATTCAAGTTTCAAAACCAAACATGGAAAGTGAAGACAATGCAGCAATATCAAAATTTTATTTAAAAAAAAATGCAGCACAGCAGAAAGATCTCCTGGTGTGAGCCTGCATGAGATTATAGTGAGTTCCAGAACAGCCAAGACTATTACACAGAGAAACCCTGTCACACTAACAACAACAAAACAGAATCAAAACACCAAGAAGTGCAAATAAGTATCTATATATCGAAAACATCAAAGAGAAAAACGAGTTAGAGCAATTTCTCAGTGGTTAATACTATGCACTGTTCTCCAAGGGGTCCTGAGTTCAGTTGCCAGCACCTATATCTGGCTCATCACAGCCACTTATAACTCGAAGTACAGGAGATTCAACATCCTTCCCTGGCCTTTGAGAGCACCTTCATCATGAACACAAATGCACCCAAATAACACATGCACAAAATTAAAAAATAATAATTAATTTCAAAATAAAATCTATTTTAAAAATGGAAAATAAGACCTTTACAGCTATGCAATCTCCTTTTAAAATACCTACTGTACCTTATTATCTGAAAGATAAACAAGTTAATGAATTGACAAATGTTCTCTTTTGAAACAGGAAACAGAACATTTTAGATAAGGAAACGAGAATCCTTGGCTGTTGAGTGAACTGTGGTATCAGGACAAAAATGCCCAGTAGATCTATAGAACATATTTTTCTTTTTCTTTCTTTGCTCTTTCTCTTTCCTTCCTTCCTTCCTTTCTTCCTTTCTTCCTTCCTCCCTTCTTTCCTTCTTGGATACATGGTTTCTCTGGCTATCCAGGATCTCATTCTGTAGACTTGACTGGGCTCAAAGTCACAGAAATCCACCTCCTTCCGTTCACAGTGCTGGGATAAAAAGGTATGTGCCACCACTGCCACTCATTACACCTTCTTATTGGATTAGGAGAATCTAAGATTCCAAGAAAATTGGACCCCAGAAGAAAATGAAGGAGGAGTCCAATAATATCTATGGTTATTTCACGAGACATGGATTTGTTTCCACTTACAGACTATGTTGGGGATCTGATGCTTGTGACCTCCAAAGGTACCTGCACTTGTGTGTGCATATCTAGAATCAAGTTACACACATGCACATAATTAAAATAAAAAATAGAAGAGGAAAAATCTGGCAGTAGGCACACACATACCTATGAACCTAGCAATTAGGAGACTGAGTAGCTCAGTATGTTCCAGGTCACCCTGAATTACAAGACAAGACACTCTCAAAAAATAAATAACAATAATAACAATAATAGAATTGTAAATGAACAAATTAGCCAAGGCAGTTGAGTGATTGACATTTCCATTGAGATAGAATACAAATATCCATTACAGGAAGCCAAGTAGTAAAATAAAACGTCGGGCAACTCAGGATATATAATCAAGTCAGACAGACTACTATTTAGAGATCCATAATACTGTAAGAAGAAAGTGTCTCACTAGTAAGTTGGGAAGATATTAAAAGCGTTTCCACAAAAGGAAAAGAACAGTATGTCTGTAACAAAGTAAAGGTAAGGACCAACACCATGTCACACCTGTGCACAGTCAAACTCTCACACCACACCCCCACACACACCCCCATCTCAATATGCACACTATAGAAAGGAAGGAAAAGAGAGAATGCAATGGAGGGAAAGGAAGGAAGGAAAGAGACAGAGGGGAAGGGGCCTGGGGCCTGGGACCTGGGAAGATAAACAGATTTATGACAACAGCAGCGAGAGCACGTGTGTGTTAGTGTCTAGGAGAGAGGAGGGTGAGGATAAAAGGTAAGTTGTCACTTTATATTACCCAAGAACTCCTCCCTCCTCTAGGACCCCAATTGGTAATCTGTTAACTCTTACTGCAGTCTTTATTGTGAGGAATCCTGTTAGCCGATGTCTCCTGTGAGAGTAAAAATTCTGACTGCCTTCTATCATGGGAGAAGACAGATGGAAGAACACACTTTTAAATCCTCTATGGGAGTCTGCAAGGGAGACTTCCTGCTCTCATAAGTTTACTCATTCACTACACAACTCCACACATGGTTCATTCGTGAGGTGGGCAGAACATCAAAGGCTATATTCATATCTAAAAGAATATCTGTAGTCTACAAAGCTGATGCTCGCTTTCCTGAAGTTGAGAATTTTCATTCAAGGTATCTGTTATTACTCCTTTAAGTCGTTCTTTATTTATTTCAAATATTCTTAATGTGGTTTTGGCCTAAGTAATAGAAATACACCGTTTAAAACAATTTAAAGGAAAGCCCCCTGTTTATGTCTTTTCTGGAGAACATAAAATGTAAGCAAAGGCCAAAACATTCCACTATTTACAGCAGAGACAGTATCAACACTACTTTGATACACTCATTTGCCACATGACTTTGAACAAATTATTGAACCTTCCATGTACAATGCAGACAACTTTGTTAACTACTGAAATAGAAAAGAACAATTATTAGTTACAGAATTACTGGTTTATTTAGCAGCTTACTTAAAACACTGCTTGGACTGCATATTTGCCAAACATGGCTTCACTTGCTACCAGGAAGGGAATAACATGGAGAAATAGCTGAAAGAATGGGTTGTCACCCTTAGCAACCTGCTACTGCCATGTACACTTCAGAAAAACTTGCTTGCTTGCCTGCCCACTTTGTGATTTTAAAAAAGAAACTCTAACCAGAATTGAAGGCTTTCTGGAGGTCTCATGAGGACAGTCCTCATGCTCACTAGTGCATGAGTAGATATTAGAGAAAGACCCCACACTCCTTACTCTTTGTCTCCTGACCTAAACTAAATATGGGAGGAAGCAAATCTTTTTATTATCGAAACATGTTACACAACTTCAAGAGTGCTCAGATACATTCCTAGGTTAAATATATCCAGAGGAAAATGAATTTCAATCAAAGTAACACATTAAAACAAATGCATATTTAAGCTTGGCTACATTTCAAATACTAACAATATTTTATTACCTGATGTGATGGCTATGTTTGGTTATCAACGATAACTGGAATTAACTAAAACCCAAGGAAGCTGTGAGTACTGTTTCTAAATTAAATCATTTCAAGTGGCAAGATCCACATTTAATCTGGATCTTTTGAGGTGGGAAGATCCACCTATATTCGGGGCTATACTTTCTGGCAGCAGCCTATCTAAAGGACATTGGAAGGAGGAAGCTTGCTGGTCCTTACCCTCACTGGCATTACAGCCTACTTCTTTGGTATTCCAGTGTATACTGAGTATCAGGTGAGACATCCAGCCTCATGGACTGAGAAAGTGCTGGATTCTTGGACTCTCTGTTGGTAGACTGACAATGCTGGACTGAGTGGAACACAGCCTGGAAACGCTTTAATAAATAACCGATATATATATATATATATATATATATATATATATATATATATATATTATTTTTCGATATATATATGACATCTCCTAAATTCTCTTCCTCTAAAAAACTCTGACAAATATACCCAATAATAATATGAAACATAAATGGTCTTCAGAAGTGACAGACCAACTTATTTCAACTTAACTTACTTCAGCTAGCTGTGATTTGAGAGACTGTGATTCATCTGCTAGAGACTGCATCATTTTTGAAAGGTCGCTCATCTGAAAAGACAGTATCAGTCAGGAAGTATTTAATAAGTCCATTTTGCTCCAAGACAACATGCATTAGTTAGGTACATTGTTAATTTACTGTTAATAAAAGGGAGAGGCCACATGAGTAGACCTTGTCAGATTGCATTCCTAGTGCTCACAAGGATTTTACAAATTATGTAATCACATGATGTCCTTACAAATGCAATACATCATAGAACTTTTCAGGTTTAAGGTGAACCCATTAATTCATATGTTAAATAATCTCACACACATCAAGATTTTGCTTAATCCAGAATTTAAAGTAAAATAAAAGATTATATATATATATATATATATATATATATATATATATATTCACTATGAATATTCAAGTTATATTGTTTATGGTTACTTGCAACGTAAATATTGAAATTTTCCATTTAAATTCCAAGCTAACCAAGTATGGGGGTGCACACTTGTAATCCCAGCTCTTAAGAGGCACATGCAGGAAGGTCATGAGTTTGAGGCCAGCCTCACTTATACATACAGGACTATATTCTAAGAGTATGTCAATAAATATAAACAATAAGAAAACAGGAATATGCACAAGACACTCATCATAACATTTAAAAAGTAAAAGTTTGATGGGAGGTGTTGGCACATGCCTTTAATCCCAGAAAACAGGAGGCCGAGGGAGGTGGATCTTTGTGAGTTCCAGGCCAGCCTGGTCTGCATAGTGTGTTTCACAACAGCCAGAGCTATTATAAGGAGAAATCCTGTCTTGAAAAAGCAAAACATAACAACAAATAAACAAAAGAGGTGAAAAGATCAGATCAGATGTGAAAATTTTTGTTCCCATATTATTCTACATCATTGTTTTTCTTTTGATTTTTCAAGACAGGGTTTTTCTGTGCCACTTTGTAACTTTCCTCGAACTCGTTCAGTAGAGTAGGCTGGCCTCAAACTCCCAGAGATCTGCCTGCCTCTGCCTCCAGAGTGCTAAGATTAAAGGCATTTGTCAAGAATGTCCAGCCTGCATTCATTTTTTACATACATGAGTTTCTTTTCATTTTTGAATATAGTATGTCCTTTCCCTGTTCAGGGCTTGGAACTGTTGTTTCTTCCTCCCAAGTGCTGGTATTATATGTTTGTGCCACTATGGTTGGCTCACATATGATATTTTAATCAATATTTAAATTATATAAGATTCATAATTCTCTTGGAATATATAAGACTCACCAATTCCTCTTCTTCATAACTTTTAGCTCTCTCTTCTTCTAGTTTCTTCTCTATAAGTAATATTTCTTCTTCAAGTTTAGATTTATCTCTTTCTAGATTTTTATAAGTTGCCTAAAATAGAAAGCTAACTTTAAACAAGCCAAACATAAGAATTTTTAGTTAGGGTAAAAATCAGATGACTATAGGGTAAAAATCAGATGAGTATACTCAAATTAATAAACACTTTACGCATTTTTTCTTTTCTCAAATATTAAAATAACAGCAGATTTAGCAGTTGCCAGCAACTTCTATAAAAAAAAAAGTGTAAGTATTTTAGGTGCCCACCAGTCAACCTTGGAAAACAATGAATACCCCCTGAAGGAATTAAAACAGTTGTATTCCAAAAAAAACTTTTATGTAAAAATAAAGAAAATTAATGAGTTTATTTGGAGTCTAAACTCCCTGCGGATTCTACAAGGGCATTCTACATCATAAACACAGACTTGCTACTCAGGACAGAGGATGACAGAACTGCCATTCTGGATTGAACACATAATCAAAGGGACAAATTTTTTTTTCTGTTTTTTCATTGGTAGGAGCAGGCTATTTCTATTCACTATAAAGGCTCACAACTAAGTTTTAATAACCGTTCCACTTGCAAAGAGTATTGAGGCACTTCATCATATCATACTCTGTCTGTTAAGACGAGCCATTATGGCCTCTGAATCAGGAGAGTTAACTGTCCAACTCTCCTAAACTCTCCATTCTGTGAAATCATGGTTATGGACTGAAAACTGGCTGTGATGGAGTGTGTAGACAAGGGTTGATGCACAGAAAGGGATTAAATATTTATCACCATTACAGTCTTTACAATTTAAACCTCTGGTCTAATTTTAGTAAATGTGTACTACCATGGTAAGAAAAAATAATATGGTTACAACTTACTTGTCTGCTACTATGCTTAAATTTGTGAGAGTTCTATGTTTCTTTCCAGGAGCAAACTATGTCAAAAGTAGGAATTGTCTTTCCAATCTTTTCACCGGAGTACAGAATGCAGAATTTCTTTCTTTCTATAAATCTATAGCTTCTGATAAACTGATTTTGTATCCCTCAAAACAAGTTAATGACAAGAGTTGAAACTGTTATGCTTTAAAATATTAAATGCTACCTACAAATATTCTGTTTCCACTAACTTTTTCTGTACATTATAAGATCCAGATACACAATTTCATATTTCTCTGACATAAATATTTTTGAGGATACAAGATATTTCTAATAAGAATCTTTTCCCTAGCTTTTATATCATACTTTTGTTTTTACCTTCAAACTCTGTACTTCTGTTGATGACTTGTCAAAGTTGGCCTCCTTTAAGGATGACTCTAAGCCTTCATACTGAATGAAAAAAGGGAACACGTGAGGAAAAAATATTAATTTTTTCTCAACTTGTATCTAAATAGACACCAAAGAAGGAAACAGAATTTATATCCACCATGTAAAGTACCCTTGGATTTTGTGAGCTTAGTTTTGCAATCTAAACACTGTGCTGAGGAAAGCCAGGTTTTCAAACAAGCCACAACCATCAGCCTAGGGAACATAAGGCAGACTGTTTCCGTTGTGACTAGCAAAGGTTCCCCACATCTGCTGGGGCTGAAAACCCTAACAGCAAGTGTGACTAAAGAGTATCTAAAGAAGGGAGTCTTCTACTATCCCCTGAATGGATTAATGGCTTCTCCAGTCTGTCAGTAGAACAATATGTGGTAACTGGCTATCAGACATTTATATCATGTGATAAATAAGGCAAGTAAGGAAGATAAAATCTGTGAGTTTCAGACCACCCTGGTCTACAGAGTGAGTTTCAGGACAGCCAGTGATGCACAGAGAAACCCTGTCTCTTATATCTCAGCACCTCACAATTTGTGTTATTTAGAGACAAAGCCTAAAGGTTAAAATGAGGGATGTAAGATGACCGCAGTGTAATATGACTGATATCCTATGAGGAGAACACTAGGAGAGAGAAAGACACAAAAAGCAGACAGTACTATCTAAAGTCAAGGGTCAGGTCACAGAGGAAGCAAAGCCTGGCTCTATCTCCATGGACTCTTTTCAAGAACTGTAAGGAAATTCACTTCTGCTGCTAAAGGTATTTTGTCACAGTAGCCCTAGCATGTCCAAATGAAAACAGTAAATAAAGTCTCTACATGATAACAAGTAAAAGTACCTTTACATCCTTGATAAGCAAACAAATCTCATGAAACATTACACTACATTAAATTGTAATTCAAATCCTCTACCTTCTAAGACACCAAACAAAACAGAAATGTAAGCCACAGTGTAGAAGAGATTTACAATCCATATATCTGAAAAAACTCTTATATATGACATAAAATAGTAAAAGCAAAGGCCCTAATCTATATGGCATGAACTGAGAAAGATTATGAGTGCATTTAAAAGGATGGAAATGGGCAAGTGAGATGGCTTTGTAAGTAGTTAAGGAGCTTGCTGCCAAGACTGATAACCTGAGTTCAATCCCAGGGACCCACGTAGTAAAAAGAGGAAAGTGACTCCTCCATGTCCTATGATCCTATGAAGACAACACAAATGCCTTCTTAGTACATGCCTACACACATAAACACAAATAGACACACACAGTAAAAATAAAGTCATCTTTTAAGGTGGATAAGACGTAAAAGGCAATTTTACAATATCTAAATGAGCAATAAGCAAATCAAGGTGCTCTGACTAATTAGTCAGGGAAAGTAAACACTACACATCACCAGGGTGGCTGCAAAGAGAATGGATAAGTGATGAAGTTGAGCAGCAACAGAGCTCTGGTCTGAAACAAAGCTCTGATGGCAGACAATAACCCATGGAGAACAATTAATTTCCATATTGTGATGGGTGGTATTTTCAAACACATCTTACCTCCTCTTGAGCAAGGCACACTTTGTCAATTAGATCACATTTCTTTTTGATTTCCATTGCAAGTTCCACAGCCAGTCTATTCTCTCTTACTGAGAAATCAAAGGAAATATTATTAGTACTAAAGTGTGAAAACACTTTAAATTAGATAGAATCACAAGATCTAAAGTCAAAAAAGACTACTTACTCAAATAAAGTCGGCTCTGAATCTGAAACAAAAATTTAAAAAAATTACATTAAAACAAATATATCTTCAAGCAAATCTATCTGACTTCTACTTCAAGCTTTAAGACGCCAAATTTCTTATGACCTTATGGTAAATAAATTACCCGAAAGCCTTTTATTTCAAATGAAAACAATGCTATATAGTAAGGTCTCCCATTGTGTGGTATCATGTGTGTCTCTAAAACAGTCTCATTCTAAAGAAAACTGTATAATTCCACTGAACCCCATGTTTCCCATGCATATATTGGCTCTAAAACAAAGTATTTTAAGGAGCCACCGTTATTAAATCTCCTACGGTTAATAATCAAAATAAAAGTATATGAAATATCATTGGACCCTAGAACTTGACTGACTAAAAAACTCATTAGTCTTTTTCTTCTTCATACTTCAGCTTTCGATAAGGAAGGGATAAATACACCCTTGAGAACAGTGGGGATAGTGTAACGTGATCAAGGGACGCAAACAAGAACACTCATGCCACCTAGAAAACAGAGACAGAAAACTGGAAGAAAAAAAATGATAAAAAACAGTGGGATATATGTAAGCAGAAGGTAAGGAAGAAAAAAACCATGAAGATATTAGAAATGAAGTCTGTCAGAAGCATAAAGGCCAACATCTAAAAAGAAGTCTCAGAAAGTAAACGCTATGTTATGACTCCCTCCTTAAAAACAGTTAGCATAGGAAAAAGCAATATATGACCCAGGAGAGCCATGAAAGTAGCGATTTTTACTCTTAGTTGGGAAGTAGATATACCTGCAAACTTTTTAATATTGTTAAAAACAAGCACAGACACCCTAAATTTAAAGAAGAAAAGGGGAAGAAAGAAAGTTGGGGCTTTAGTACTAGTGTGTAGTATCCCTACAATAAAATCCTTTAAAATATACTTACATAAAAATATTTCTGTTAATCCCTGTTCAGTTTTTAAAAACCACCTGTTAGCATAACGCAGAACACTAAGACCTAACTCATTTCCCTGAAATAACAAGTTTCTCCAATTAGTTGTTCAGTCTAAACACAAAATGAAGGTTACAGAGAAATGGCTCAGAGCATTTGTTAGTCTTCTAGAGGACCAAGATTCAATGCCATCATCGACATTATAGCTCACAATCATCAGTAATTCCAGCTCCAGGACATCCAACAATGGCCCACTAATCACTTCTGTAGACCAGGAACACGTAACACACACACATACATACAAGCAAAACAGTCATACACATAAAAGGAAATAAACTTAAAAAACAAAAGCAAAAAACCTAGAATGACCATTCACTTACTATAAGTGGTAACTTACTGATCGCTATCCTCTCCAAAGAAATAAGAAAATGGTAAGCAGTGCAATGGCAACCACACATATCAGCGATTCTAATGATGGCTCACTAGGATCAAAGCATGTTGTCATATCTTCAGGCACTGCTGCCACAACCTTCGAGACAAAGAAAATAAACCTATGAGCATGCTTCTTCAACAGTACTGGTACAAAGACAGGCAAAGGTGGCTGTGGCCAACTCTATTCATATTGAATGGGCTACCATAAAATACAAAGCAGAATGCCTCCAAACATGTTTTCTAGTAAATTACAATTGTTCTTATTGAGGGGCTAAGTGTGGTGAAACAGTAGTTTTCAAACAGAAGTTATGGAGGGATTACACAGAGCATAACTCCAGGACAGTTAAAGGATAAGGATATAGTATCAAGAAAAGAACATTGTGGAATATTTTATATGCGTTTCATTCTTTTATGTTGCATTTGTTTAACTCTGTAAAGCTGCATTACTTTGCCTGTCTAAAACACCTGCTTGGCCTAATGAAGAGCTGAACAGACCAATAGCTAGGCAGGAAAAAATAGGCAGGGCTGGCTGGCATGCAGAGAGAATAAATAGTAGGAGAGAACTAGAGAAGATCCAGGGACAAGAGGAGGAGAACACCAAGGGCACCAGTCACAGAGTAAGAAGGAAAGCAAGGCATATATAATAAATAAAGGGAAAAGAGCTCAGAGGCAACACATAAAGAGAAATGGGATGATTTAATTTAGAAAAGCTGGCTAGAAAAAATCTGAGCTAAGGTCAGCCATTCGTAAGTAAGAATAAATCTCCATGTATTTATTAAGGAGATAGGTGAGGGACACCATCCCTACCAAAGATTTTTAAAATCCAGTAACAAAGAAAAGTATCAATGATCTGGGTTGGGTTCTTTTCCCTGAGTTCAGGTTCATGAATTATCCCTATGCACTGGGTTTGAAATAACATTTCCTGCAGAGGAAAAACACTGATCCGCAGCTTGTCCTCTGAGGAAGGGAGAGTGAGAAGAAACAACTGATAGAGCTTCAGAGTTGGGATTTAAACCCTTCCTTCCTGTCTCTTGAGTTAAATTAATGCAGTTTGAGCCCAAAAGGAAATGGCTCTTTCAAAAACAACCATAGAAATGATGGGCTTGACTCGTTCCAGGCATCAACATACACCATCTAGAAACAACACAGCTGTCTTCTCCTTGGGGTCTGACAAAATGAACAACAAATCCTTAGATAATTACTATCTATAAAACCTGTTTTATGCTAGTACATGACAAGGACATTTTACAAGCTGATATCTACAGCTTATTAACTTCTACCAAAAAAAAATACATGCAATAGTATCCTCTTTTTTTATTCCCTGTATCTTTATTTTCCTTTTTACATCTGTGACTCCAGAAAGAATCCAAAGTGTAGGTGCACCGCCTCTGCTCTGGGTTTCATGGAGAGTTCCTTTAACCTTGTGTTTTAGATCCTTAAGGTACAGGACTGACCATACAAGGGCTCAGAAAAGGGTTAAAAATATTTTATCCTGGTCCTGTCTCTCTTTTTCTCACCTGAGCCACATACACAAAAGTGTGATATCATGTTGCAAGGCAATGATAACAACGATTTGCCTCTAGGATCACAAGAAAAGATATTCAGGCATGGAAATTATTTCCATTATCTCCCTCCAAAGACTACGAATGTATAACCAAGCCCCTTCACATACCCTCTAAAATATTCTTCCACACCTCACAGAGTACTGCCTGCAGTTAATTGCATATATTACTTCTTCCTGAATCCATCTTCCCTCAGTGGGTTATTCTAGTCTTTATCACCAGGCCCCAATACTAACTGATCATAAACAAGTAGATTGACTCCTCTGATAGCAGATAAAAAAGGCTAAGACTAAAACTGTTACTAGAAACAAAGATGTGATGGAAAAGGCTAGTTCAGTCTTTAAGATGTAGGATTTTATGCAAGAGAACCACAAAATGAAGTAAATCTGTTGAAGTAAGGATATTATTTTTAGATCTCACTTTCAGTGAATCAGCATGAAAAGAGAACGAGGTAAAATTACTACAAATAAGTTAGACTATCATACTAGCAGAATACTATGCAATAATAGCAGAAAATACATTCACTCTCAAATGTACATGGAAGATTTTTCAGAAAAAATCCAGGCACTATGCTAAAACACACCTCAATATTTTCTTTGTTTGTTTTTTGTTTTGTTTTTTAAATAATCAAATCACAGGGCCAAGCCCAGAGAAATGGCTCAGCAGCTGAAAACATTTGCTGCTCTTGCAGAGGAGCATACTTCAGTTCCCAGAATCCATGTCAAGAAGTCCCTAAGTGCCTGCCCATGACTCTAGCTCTGTGAGATCTGACGCCCTCTTGCTGCTTCCTTGGGCAGTTGAAGCTACAAGCACATACAAACATACAAATAGTTTAAAATAGTAAAAATTCAATTAAAAAATTCCCATGTCGAGAAGCATATTCTCTGATTACAATGGGTTAAAATTAGTTATCAAAAAAAAAAAAAAACAGGAAGGGCTGGAGAGAGAGCTCAGCAGTTAAGAGCATTTGTCATTCTTGTAGATAAATGACCCATGTTTGGTTCCCAGGATCCATTTGGTGGTTCACCACTATCTATGACTCCATTTCTAGGGAAATATGTCACCCATTAAGGCATCTTTAAGCACAGCAAACATGTGACGCATGGACATACATGCAAGAGCAAAACATCCATGAACACAAAAGGTTTTTTTTTTTAAATAATAAAATGCAACACAGAACTTACACAAAACAACTAATTCAGTGTGTAACAGGAAAATTTATAGTCATAAAAGACTTTGTAAAAAAAATATGTGGCGCAAGGGCTGGGAGAGATCTCACAATGGTTAAAAACATTAGCTAGTTGTCAAGAGGTTCTGAGTTCAGTTCCTAGCATCCACATTGTAGCTCACAACCATCTGCAATGAGGTGCCCTCTTCTGGCCTGCAGGGATATAAGGATAAAGAACACACTATATATAATAAATACATCTGAATAAATATTTTAATATTATTGGGCCTGCAAGATAGCTCAGCAGGTAAAAACTTTGCCACCAAACCTTAGGGCCTGTGTTTGACCCCCATCACCAATGTGGTAGAAGGATAAAACCGACTCTTGGGGCTTTGCATTTACATACACACACCCACACACACAAACACACACACACACACACACCATATGTACACAGAAAGGAATGTAATGTTCAGTTAAAAAAAAAACCAATGTCATAATCCACAGTAAAAGAAATGAAGAAAAAGAAGATCTCAACAGATAGTAATGAAATATGTAAGAAAATCAACCTTCTAATTATCAGGAGACTGCAAACTAGGACTACTTTTCTCAATCTGACAAACAGCACCAATAGAAGACTCACAGCTAACACCATCCTGAAGGGGAGAGAACTGTTCCCTTACAAAATGCAACACATATCCACACAGCGCACTGAACCACAAAAAATCCAGCCAAGTCTGCAAAATCCCTCCATGTTCCTCACCCACAACCTTATCAAAAATAAGTGTTGGTAACTGCTAGGTGCCTGTGTATTTTATGTGGAAAAGCCAGAGGCTGCTGTGATAATGTCTTCCTTTTCTACCTCATTTTTTCTAAGGCAGAGTCTCTCACTCAATCTAGAGCTCACACATTCTCTGATAAACTGATTACCAGTGAACATGGGATTCCTCTATTCACACCTCCACCCAGCATTTATATTTCCTTAAGGACTCCAACTCCAGATCATGGCAAGCACTTTCCTTTCCGAACTGAGCCATCTCCCTAGGCCCTAATTGTGGATTCTGAGGAAGATGTGTATGATCTGAAATCATCTCTCATCTACGATATGTTTCTCTTCCCATAAGCCCCATCTCAGTAACTTAACTGACACAGCCAGGAACTTGGGATTATTCTAGATTCTCCACACATCCCACCCATCTCTACAGCTAATCAAGAAAGTCACACTCATTTTACCTCTTATTTCTTCTTGCCCCATTTAGGACCAACTTCTCTATCCTTACCCCTATCAATTCTCCTTCCTGTGTTTTTTTTCCTGACATTTGATTCTCATACTATCAGGAATATCTATACATTTTTTTCTATAGGTCTCACCACTGATGAGCCTGTGCTGGATCTCACACCCCACAGCAATCCTTGAGACCCACTGGTCTACAGTAAGCATCATTTCACATCAGGCCCTTGGCTCACTTATGCTGTGAGCTCCTGTGCATGCTGTTTTCACACCTCATCTACTAAAACTTATTTGCTCAGTCTAAAGACTTTCTCAGCAACCCAAGGAAAAATAATCACTCCCTTCCCTTGTTTTGCATGTGTACTTCTATAGGCAATAGACTTCAACTGTGGATTAATTTTGTGTATTTTCTCCCCAAACAGCCAACATGATGAAAATGACCAAATTCCTTATTTCATTTAGAACCTCCATAGAGCATTTTTATTCATGGGCAAATGAACCATGAGCATGGCACTACTTACTTTAAATTCATAGAACATGAAGATAATTAGAACTGGCAGCAGCTCAAAAATCCTCCATGGGCACTCCACGGTGTCAGTACGAGTCAACGCCATCCCTGTGCCCACGATGGGGAGCCTTGCAGCTGGACAGATGGACAGCAGCAGAGCAGAGCACAGTCAGGGGGCAATGGGAAAGGGAAGGGTTCTGGGGCCGGCTGGCACCACTGCCCTCTCCACCTCCCTTATCTCAGTTGGCGCGTCAACACTGGCACTCTGACCTCCAGCACCCAGAGTCCTGGAGAGCTGGAGCAAGAGGTGCTGAAGCACCCAGTGTGGGGCTGCAGACCTACACTCTGAGGCCTGGAGGCTGGCCGGGTGAAACTCAGCCCCCTATCCCCAGCTACTTTTGCACTCTGTCCTATCAAGTCAAAAAAACACTCTTCTATGGAACACTAAAAGCTGAAGCACAAGGTTTGGGGCTACAGCCCTACACTCCGAGGGCTGGGGCACAGCCACGGAGTGAAGCTCAGCCCCCAAGTTACAGCTACTATCATACTCTGTCCTATCCTCTCAGTCCAAAAGCCACACTGTAGTAGCTGAGAAACTCTCCCTACGCAAAGACATCATCCT